AATGAACAATTTTAACCATGTTCATGTTTAGTTCATTTATCATTCGAGCTTTTAAAAAAATGCTCAAGATGTCATCTTATTCATTAATACTATCTTAAGTATTTACATTTAAATTTATTAATCCACCTAGGGGTGTAAACGAACCGAACACGAACGAACAAAGTTTGTGTTCGTGCTCGGTTCGTTTGAAATAAACTTGTGTTTGAAATTGTTCGTGAAGTCACTGTTCGTGTTCGTTTCTTAACGAACGAGCCGAACACGAGTTGTTCGTGAATGACGGGCCAATTTGACATCCTAATATTAATATACATAAATAATATATTATATTAATTATATAACTTATATTATATAAATATATAATATAGAGTCGGTTTCCTCCCAACCTAACAACAAAATTAGGGACCAAACTATGGATTGGTCATTGTTCTTTATACACTTGAAAGAGGGTAAGAAATATGATTGCTCTAATTTGACACAATACAAATATATATATATATATATATATATCATTTTATATTTCGAACAATAACGATTCAAACAAGAACGAACACATCACTGTTCGTGTTTGATTCGTTTAACTAACTGAAAGAAAAAAATTTGTTCACGTTCGTCTCATCTACTTATCGAATCATTGATGAACCGAACACGAACTCCTTGATGAACCGAACATGAACTGTTCACAAACAACGAGATTTTTTGACAGCACTAAATCCACCCAACATTCTATTCAAATGAATAAAGCTAAACTAAGCCCTAAATCATGAAAACATATATATTTTCACACATTTATTTGAATAAAAAAAATATTTTGATTTTAATGTTACCAAATGTTCGACAAAATTACAAAATTAATAAAAAAAAGTTTTTACTAATTGACCCAATTGTTTGGTATAGCCGTAAATTGGATTTAAAGGTCAGAGAATGCACACCTAATCGTCACTTTCTACCAAACACAATAAAATATTTAAATGTCAAAATCAGCCACATCAAATCAGGAATATGTTGAAGTAAAACCGACCCAGATTTGGAATTAGGACCGTACATGGAATTTTCTGAACTATCGCTGATCATTAAGTAGGTAAGGAAATTAAATAAAAGAGAATTATAAGGGTGTGACTTTTGTCCCGAGTCTAGTGGGCACTTGTCACATGATAAGTGAGCCCCATTATATTATATTGGATATGTTTGTTAGAGGAGTGAGACTCACTTGACACGTGACACATGCTAACTGAATTCCGGATGCAAATTTTGCATCTGTGGACCCGGCTTCATGCGCTGGCCTGGCATGCTTCTCATACAAGGTTCTTTTGTTTGCTCCACTTACAAATACTTGACTTCACACTATGCCCTCATCACACCTCCTCAGTAATCCATACGTTAATTCAACTTGAATCCAACTTAAATAATTTAGGTTCGGACCCAAAATTTTAGTAATTATAATTTTTAAGGTCGGGTTCGATTTGACCCGCTAATTCAAAATTGACTCGAATTTGATCTGAATTGGACTTGAATGTTACCAAAATAACTATCATGCATATATTAAACGGGTTATGCGGCTCGAATTCGAGTTAGTTAAATTGACAGCATGTAGGATTTGAGTTAGACTTTTTGATCTATTTACTATTCTGGTTGAGTACAAGTGAAGTGTAGGATTATTATTATTATTATTATTATTATTATTATTATTATTATTATTATTATTATTATTATTATTATTATTATTATTATGTGTTTGGCCGCCATAATATTTATATATTTTTAATTTTTTGGTTAAAAAAATAAATTATTTTTAAAAATAAGTAAAACGCATGTTGAGTTTTTTAAAAATAGCTAACTCAACCAAATAATATATTTTGATGTGATATGAAAGATTTGAGTGGTATATATATATATATATACATAACAAAGTTTAGGGGTTAGATATGTAACTACATATGAATAGTGGGATGTATGAAAATGCTCCTATTTAAAATATTTTTGAATTTTAAATATTTATAACGAAATAGTTCCTACTTCCTACATAAAAAGTTAAATATAAATTGTTTGATTTACTCTAACTTGAATCCCTGTGAAAGCAAAAATTATTATTCTTCAAATATAACAATGCAAAACTTTTTAAGTTTTATTAATATAACAAGATTTAAAAATGGAGTTGAGAGAGAATATTTATTTGCATTTAATAGAGAGAGAGAGAGAGAGAGAGAAAGAGAGAGAGAGAGAGCTTAAAACCCTCTTTACACAAGTCAAGGATCCTCTATTTATAAAAATAAGAAAGAAAGATAATATAATAAATATCCTTATTTTATGGAGGGCGGTACAACATATTTCAGTCTTTCCTTGCTCAGATTTGCCAATATAGAACTTTTTCATTATTGGAGCTCATCGCCGTCAAGAGGCCGACTAAGAGTGGCTGACCGACCAGAGTCATTTGGTTGACCCGATGTGGTAGGCTGGCTAGGGTGGGCGATCGACTAAATTATTTTGGTTGGCCTAATGTGACTGGTTGGCTGATAGTGGGCAACAAATTGAATTATTTTGGCTAGATCATTGTGGTCGGTAGGTTGGTGGTGGCTGGCCGACTATGTTGGTTGGTCGACTAAACTATTTTGGTCTGCCCAACATGGCTGGCTGGCTGGTGGTGGTCGGCCAATTGGATTATTTTGGCTGGACCAATATGGTCGGCAGGCTGGTGGTGGCTGACCAACTGGATTATTTTGGTCGGCCCAATGTGGTCGGTCGGCTGAAGGTGGTCGGTCGGTTGGAGGAGAATGACCAGTCCAACAGGCGCGTGGCTGGTGGTGCAGCTCCGACAACGACGATTCCTTTGGCTCAACGAGGGCAGTGACATTTTCAGACTATACCTAAAGCCTCCGAATATTTTACTTTTAGAAGTGAAGCTAAAATAAAAATAAAATTCTCATAAATACAAAAGAATAGATGTGATCTCTTGAATCAATATATGGACTTGGTTTTTAATAGTCCTTTCGTTAGCTTTAGATGTTTTGATCTTGAGGCTTGATTTTTTATTAGTCTTCTTTTGATACTTTTTTGATATTTTTTGAGATTTTTTAGGGTTTATTTCTACCAAACTCAAGCCTTACTCTTTGCCTGTCTCTTTTGCACTTCTTGGTACATCGCCTACAACGGGTTGCACCTTTTGCCGGGTCTTAGGCGGATCTTGTCGCTGCTTTCACGGGGGTAACCACCAAGACTCGCGGATGGAGTGATTTGCATCGTACATTGCTGGAGCTTGTGGCTATTGGGCAGGGAACCACCATTCTAACTTTTTTTGAGTCGAGTTTCAAGATGAGGTTTGGATGCTTTGAGTGTGAGGTAGACTTTGTTGCTCATCGCGGAGGAGAGACTTTAGTAGGAGAGATTTGTCTTTTTTTTTTTTTTCTTTCTTCTTTCTTCTTTCTTCTTTCTTTTTCATTTAAAAAAAAAACAAATTTAAAGGAAATAAATATTTATCTTTTGAGAAGGGCTTTATTTCTTGTTTTTGGCTCTCATCTTTCTTCATGCTATTTTCTCATCTTTTCGTTTTTGCAAATTTGTTAATATCTCTATTTTTGTTTCACTGTTTAAGATTTTATCCCTTCTAGTGTGGTTGTCTTCTTACTTCACGCTCACAACAAATCTTACGATGTTGAATCCAAATCTATCCTGTGAGTGTCTGAGGACTAGAGCACGATGATCGAAGGAGAAAAAAGAGAAAGAGAGAGAGAGAGAGAGAGAGAGAGATAATTGCCCCGTCGGGGGCAAATATGGATGTTCTCGGGCTCCATGATCTTTTCTTATTCCATTAAATTCGAGGGTTACAAGTAGGAAAAAGAGGAAAGTTCTATTTACATGAGGGTTGAGAGAAAGAGCCTAGAGACCTCTTTACACATGCAAAAGATCCTCTATTTATAGAAATAAGAAAGAGAAAAAATATTACAAATATACTCTTACTTTATGGAAGGTGATGCATGGTATTTCGTTCCTTTCCTTGTTCGGATTGTAGACTTGGAGTTTTTCCGTCGCTGGAGCTCGTCAGCTCTGGGTGGCCGAATAGCTGGAGGTGGTCATGGTGGCCGCCTGACAGGAGTCATTTGGCTAGCCCAATCTGGCCAACCTGCTAGTGGTGGCTGGTCGACTGGACTATTTTTGGCTGGTCCAATGTGACCGACCAACTGGTTTATTTTGGCTGGCCCAATGTGGTAGGCTAGAATGACTGAATAATTTTAGCAGACCCAATGTTGTTGACCAGATTATTTTGGCGGGCCCAATGTGGTCAACCGACTGGAGTAGGGTGGCCGACTCTACAAGTTCACGGTTGTTGGTGCGACTCTGACGACGATGGATCCTTTGGCTCGACGAGGGCAGTGTCATTTTCATGCTATACAACAGCATTATTATAGCTTAAAAAAAAATGAAAAACACCTTCACACTCATAGATTGGATAGCATAAGACATTATATATGTCAAAATTAGAGATATTATATATCTAAATACATAGCTATTGAGTTGTGTGTATGTAAATCATTATTTTTTGATATTATTATTATTTTCATGCACATATTTTTAGGGGCAACTAGATAAAAACCACTCGAAACTTGCTATTTACAAAGTCATTCATTTTTCAAATTCACACTCAAATATCGAAATTCATGATAAAACCCATTATCAAATTCTCAATAGTTTAATCGTGACACATGTAAATACATCAGTTCGATCTTTAAAAAAAACTCACCTTTTGTTAATTTGTAAAATCAACATTTCAGATTGTTCGTATATAATTATCCCAAAATTCTTTTAATGTTTAAAGGATCTTTACATCTATAAATCCCAACCAATAATAATAGTAATAATAATCAACTTTCATTAACCTAATCCCAACTATTTCAGAGTCCCCTCAATGAATCCCCATTCTTCTTCTTTTAAAACAAATACAGATCATCAAAAAACATTAAAATGAAAAAAAAAAAAACACACTCATCACAACTATAACTGATTGATTTGAATTGTCACTAATAAGATGTATAAAACATCATCAGACTGATACATTAATTTAATCTGTACAAACGCTCAACTGTATTGAGCTTCTTAATCACTACTTAATCACAAGGGTGGAGTCAAACAATTGTGGTTATGAAACCCTCATTATCATCTATATTTCATCCCTCACCTAATCCTCACTAGGCCCATGATGAAAATGTTAAGCAGAAACCAATAATCAAAGCCTTTATAATTCAATTAGAGTTGTAAAGCTAAATCAGGTTGCTGTGAATCAACCCCCGCGGTGCCCGGAGATCCTGGCGACTGAAATCTAAGATTCAGATCTGGCGGAATAGATTCCAACTTCGCCGGCAATGAAGACGAGGACCGCAGCTGTGAATCATCGCAGTGACCTCTCGTCGGTTTGTCAAAAGCAGGAGAGTTAGAAGCTAAGGCCATCTCCGGATTGAAGTGGCTTGAATGTGCCTTAACTAATGCATCGAATGGCCGGGCATCAGTCATGGGTGGCTCAGAACCAAACGACATCGGCGGTCTTGTAGGCTTCATCGAGTTAGGAAGGTTGAACCTGAAGCCATTGACTGTAGGTTGCATTCCTCTACTCTGATTTGCGAGAAAAGGGGGCTTCAACAGGCCGACGGTTTCTCTGTCATTGGTTTCTCCATGGTCGGAGGCGGGAGCAATCGAAGTGCTCTTGCTGCAGCCTTTGGAAGATGAGTCTCGGAGGCAAGCCTCGAGCTGCTGTAAAGGTTTGTGGTTTCCTTTTAGAATTGCGGTGCAGGGAGAAATTGTGGCCTGAGAAAAGTGGTTAGAGGGAGGGGAAGACCGGCTTTGTGTTTGAGATTTTTGAAGGATTTCGTCGTCCCCAACCCATCCTCGGCCAAATTTTGTTCCGGGAGGTAAAGCCTTTTCGATTTTCTTCGAAGCAATAGCCCAGCCGATGGAGCCAAGATGCGCCGCAAACCGAGCCAAGCTCCTGGCGTATGCTGCATATTCCAGAAGTCCAATCTGGGCCGTGTGTCAAAAAGATGAAAATTTTAGGAATGGTTTGCTTGTATTTGTTTAAGGAATAATTTAAAGCCAGTCCCAGTTAGATGGTTTGGACAATTGACCATTTGGACTATAAATCACATTTGGATTTTAGTCTGAAACTTTTCTACAATGGCCCAGCTGAATCCAATGCAACCCAACAGTTTTCATGTGAGTTTAACAGTAAAAAGTTTCTGAGGGCTCCTGGATTTTACTCGACCAATTGGCAGCTAGGATAAAGCTAATGTTTATGATGATGATGATGAACCTATTAGGGAAGAAGATGAAGAATATATATGCAGTGATGGTCCAAGAGTGAAAATATTTTCTCGTTCCAGTGTCAACTAAACTATAATTAAAATAAAAATGATCTACGAAGTGTAAAACAATACGAACCGCAGCTAGCTGTTTCTTCTCACCATCAAACAGAGACCAAATTGGCAGCTCACATCCATAGTTGTATTGTTGGAATTGACTGTATGTGGTTCTCCGATTCTCTTCCATAACCGGAGCTTTTTTGCCCAATCTTGTAGTAATCCCTTTCTCAGAACCTGAAATTAAAGGCGAAAACAGCTGCTGAATTGCACTCAATAAAAGAAAAATATATAAAAAACTTCATCCAAGGTGATTAAACATATCCACACAATTCACAAACCTGGGAATTCCTCACTTGTATCAACTTTATTCGTGTTCATCCAACCAAACGGATCAGAGTTACGAAGACCATACAAAACTTTTCCAGAAATATCAGTCAATCCAGGCTTATCTGTTGCCAAGCCTTTCTTCAACAAAGGTTGGCTTTGATTAGACAAATTGGCAGCACCGCCAGCATTATTTGGGGTTGAATCTGTGGAGAAACCTGAGGAAGTAAATTCAGAAGGAAGCAGGCCGACAGAACGGTTGATGTTCTTGCTTGGTGGTCTTCCTCTTCTTACAACTGTCTTCGATTCGGGCTCCTTGTCGCTTTCCTGCCTCAAGTTCTCAAAATTCTTCTTTGCAAGTTCTTGAATAGATCTTGCCTGTGCGGTTTAATATCAGCTTCAGATAATTCCAATGTTTCAGAAGAGATAGCAAGGAATTTGAATAGATCTCAAAATTAAAATATGAGATAGACTTACCTGCCGATAATAGATAGTGTCAGTTGCGTTGTAGCGCATAGCATTTGAACTAATCAGAAATACATCCTTCTGTTTGTGCCAAAGAAAAACAAACAATATTAGGCTAAACAAGCACAAACCTGGATTATCTAAAGCATAACTACAGAAATGATAATGTAAATCATTAAAAATCGATTCAATTTAGATTATATCAGCCCATCTAAATTATATTGCCTGATGATTAAGCCAAAATGAATAGCTATATATTTCTAAACATCCTCTGCAAATGTGGTACGCTACATTTTAGCAAAAAGAAAAAAAGCTTAGCATGGCGAACCAGGAATGAAACAAATACATATGAATGGCCTGATAAGATAAATAAAAGACAAAATTGCATTGCAATGATAGGCAGCTGCTAATGATTAACATACAGCTAATATATTCAATAGCAGGTCTTTCTAGGCTACAAAAAAAGCTCATTGGCCATCATCATGATTTGAGCATGAAATAGCTCCGATGGTTATGTATCATGTAATCATCAAGGTTCTGAATTTCACACGCCAAAGATTTTTATTGTAATTTGAATGGATACTAAAAATTTGCTCAATTATGTACTAGAGATGATGTGGGTGCTCGCTTGGACCTGACGGGATTGGAGGCGGAAGATGCTTCCTGTCCAAGGCCGGTTCAGTGGGGAAGTAGAGGGACTGACCGGCCTCTTAGGGGCTAGGGTTGCTGCCGACGAAGAGGAGCGGGACCCTCCCTAGTTATTTTTTGTGTTCCTAGGGCACTTTTTCATGGGTTTTATATCGGAACAACCATTCGCGTCTCCAGGTTTCCCCTTCTAGGGTCGTATCCAAATGTGAGTGGGGTATTTCATTCCAAAGTACTGACTATCTTCGACTTCCCATCCTCCGCAACCTTCCCTTCGCCATCACCTTCGTTGTACCTGCTGCAGTCACCCCCGGAGAATAGTCTATGTGCTGTGTCTGCAGCCCCGGGACCTCCCTGCTGCCACGTCCGGTCAATACTCGCTGTTTTCCTATAGCCGGCAACTCCTTAACACCCTTCCGTCCCTACCCTGTTTACCCCTTACCACCCCAGCCGCAACTGCTCCAGACTCCTTACGTTACAAAAATTCAACCGCAGCTCCACCTTACATCCTGTTGCCAACCGCATCCCTTAACTTCCTGCTGCCTGCTGCCTGCTGCCTGCCCGCCCTCCTACAGAAGCCACCCTTAAGCCTCCCTACTACCCTCTTTTCCTATTCCAGCCCCACCATAGCCACATCATTATGAGACTTGGAAAACTTCGACTGAAAGAGTTGGGGGACTTTAAAGCTCACATAAGTCCGGCATCATTTCCATCCTCTTAACTTTAAGATATGGTATAAACTAGAAAATAAAAAAATTCTCCCAAACCTCCTAGTATCAAGGACAGGGTGATTCCCAGTTGCGCCCTAAGTATTTTGCACCACCAAGTACAGAAATTTTCATAAAGATAAACAAATAGTTAGATAAGGCTGACTATAACGTTAATGATTTGTCCATAAACTCTGATATTATCAACTTATACAAGTCCCTGAGCTTTTGGTAGCATACAAGTAGGCCCTTTCTTTATACCATCTGTAAGCGGTGGTTAAGGAACTCAGAAGTTTCTTGGGGGTGAAATTGATACAATATATACACTCTCTTTTGCCTCGAAGACCATGACATTCGCCAAAAAAATACAGCAGATTAAGCATACCATACTATCACGGACTATTTTAAAGATCCAGTAATTCAAGAGGGCAGCATTGACTTGATGAAAATGATTGGAGTGACAACAAGAACAACAAAGCCTTAATCCCACTACGTGGGGTCGGCTACATGAATCATTTTTCTCCATTGTGTCCTATTTAGTGTCATATTTTCATTTAGTTCTAGTAAATTAAGATCATTTTTAATACAATAAGCCCAAGTCTTCCTAGGTCTACCTCTTCCTTTCTTAACACAAGTCGAATCTAAAACATCTACTCTCCTAACCGGATCATCAGATGGTCGACGTTTAATGTGATCAAACCATCTAAGACGACTTTCTCTAATTTTGTCTGTTATAGGAGCTATACCAACCCTATCACGGATATATTCATTTCACATTTTTGTCTCTAAGTGTAAAGCCACTCAACCACCTAATCATTCTCATCTCGGCAACACTTAACTTATTATTATGCTTCTCTTGTAATGGCAAACATTCAGCGTCATATAACATTGGAGTGACGTTAAAAAATAATCACACAGCAAATACCTCAAAATGAAGCAAAAGTTATCAATAAATAAATTCTGATTAATTAATAGCTATACATCTATTGAGAGGCTTGATGAAAAATTATAAAGAGTGTAAGGAAGATCTACATATGATTTTTGTTGATTTTAGAAAAAAATTATGATAAATTCTAAGATAAAAATTATTGAGAGTTCCAGAAAAGAAAGGGGATAACATTGTGTATATTCAATTCATTATAGATATATAAACTAGAGTTGTGACTTGTGTTCAAACACGAGGAGAATTAACAAAGTATTTTCCTATTTCAATTGGATTACATTAGGTATCGATTTTACGCCCATAACTTTCTAGTTTAGTTATGGATGTTCTTATTGTACATTTAAAGGGAAATGTACCTTAGTGTATGCTTTTCGCCGATGATATCCTTCTTGGGGACAAGACTAGAGAATAAGTTTAGGAAAAACTTGAATTATGGAGATCAATTTTAGAGTCAAAAGACTTTTGTATGAGTAGATCTAAAACTAAATACATGGAATATAATTTTATTAATAGTAGATCTAATTGTAGGGTTATAACAATGGGTTATTAAGTCATTAAAAAGAGTGTATGTTTTAGATATCTTGGGTCTATTATTCAAAGTGATGTTGATGTAGATGGAGATGTCCTTAGTAGAATATAAGTTGGATGGTTGAAGTGGAGGATGCATCAAACCTATTGTCTGACAGAAAAGTACTGCGTAAGATGGTGATGAGATACCTACAATGCATTATGGCGCAAAGTGTTAGCCAGTAAAAGAGAAGCATAAAATAAGTTAAGTGTTCCTAAGATGAGAATGCTCATATAGATGAGTGGTTTTACACTTAAAGATATTGCGAAACAAATATATATGTGAAAGGGTTGGAGTAGCCCCAGTGGCAGACAAAATATTAAAGAGTTGTCTTAGATAATTTGGTCACATTAAACATCAGTCATCTGATGACCTTGTTAGGAGAGTAGATATCTTAGATTTGACCTGTACTAAAAGGATAGAGGTAAACCTAAAAAGACTTGAGCATGTTGTATAAAATGATCATAATTTATTAGAATTAAATGATAATATTATACTAAACGGGACGCCATAGAGAAAAAAGATTCATGCAACCAACCCCACTGGTGGGATAAAGGCTTATTGTTGTCATTGTTGTATTCAAGAAACTTAATATTCACTGAATTAATCAAAGGAAAAAAACAAGTATAAAAGATGGGACAAAGAAAAATTTACCAATTTTATTGGGCTTTAATAGTACAACAAACCTATTAATTACTGGGATAATTTAGGACAGACCATACCATAAATCCTCCCAAGAAACATTTGTGTTGAGGAAAGGACAGAGACCACACATTGTAGCACCAAAAACAATAAATATTGACATCACTTAGTATTTGGCATAGTATGTCTGAAGGCCTATAATTTATTAATAAAATATAAGATTAGATGCATAAATAAGCATGTGATGTCATAATTTATAAATGGTAAATTTCATTTAAAAAGAAAATCAATCACTTTTTTATGCAAAATAAAAAATCATGTAATATTCATTTCAAATGATAATTTAACAGTAAAAAATATGAATTTTTATAAGAAATATGAGAATTAAAAATAAAATTTTGCAGCTATTTAAATTCACATTAAGAAAAAATCAGTATTTATCATACTTGACAACACTTTAATCACATAGAAATTACTAAAAAAAGTGGTAGAAAGAACAAGGATATAAATCATAAAATTTAAGATTTAGGCTTCACATTAGTACAAAAAAACATCTCAAAAAGTTGTCATCAAGACTTAATGATGAGTTCAAAAAATCTACATCCAACAACAAATGCATAATAATTGAAAGAAAAAAAGAATTTTATTTCACCACACAAAAAATTCTACAATTATTTTGCATGCCTCAATGGGCTTATATTTGGTCCATCCAAAAAAAAAAATCAACAATTCCTCATAATCTTGAAGGATCTATAAGAAAATCCAAGCGTCATCTCAACTAGGGCTGTCAAAAAAGCTCGTTGTTCGCGAACAGCTCGTGTTCGGCTCGTTCGTTAAGTAAACGAACGAACACGAACAAGTTTTTAAAGCTCGAATTATAAATGAGCCGAACACGAACAGTTCTTTGTTAGCTCGTGTTCGACTCATTTTAGCTCGAAAAAAAAAAATTATATAATTATTTATATAATAATATATTACATATATTATTTATATAATAATATATTATATATATTTATATCTAAGCTTAAATCACAACATCTCATGTGATAATGTGGTTAATCCCTTATTTTGTATATATTTGGTTCAGGTTCGAATCCAACACTTTACATCTATTTTTTTAAATTTAATTATAACGAGCCAATTTTGAGCCGAACATGAATATTTAAATCGAACCGAACATGAACACATTGTTCACGAGCCATTTCGAACACTAGCTATTTCGAACGCGCCGAACACGAGCCAAGCCTGAGCTCGCTTAAGCTCGGCTCGTTTACAACCCTAATCTCAATACACTCGAACTACAGTAAAAACTTCTTCCAATCTTGGTTTCAAAAAAAGGATTTGAAATCACGTTTTAGCAATTTCTAATATAATTTGACATCTACCTATAGTAAAATACCAGTATAAAGGAAGGAAACTAATAATTGTGCTATGCTACAGTACCCATATATGCCAAGGTCACAGACGGAAAGCTACTGAAAATAGCTACAATGGCACGTATATAAATATTGAAAATGAAAATAGCTGCCCAGTATTGTCCATAAAATCCAATGTGGCGGAAGGCAAGAAAAGCACA